GCAATTTGATCTCTAGTTCCTCTTCGAAATCCTACCTGAACTTCTGGTAGTTCTTGATCCACATATTTCTGGAGCCTATCTTGTAGGATTTTGAGCATAACTTTACTAGCATGTGAAATGAGTGTAATGATACGATAGTTTGAACATTCTTTGGCATTGCCTTTCTTTGGAATTGGAATGTAAACTGACCTTTTCCAATCCTGTGGCCACTGTTGAGTTTTCCAAATTTGCTGGCAAATTGAGTGTAACACTTTTACTGCATCATCTTTTAAGATTTTGAATAGCTCAGTTGGAATACTGTCACCTCCACTAGCTTTGTTGTTGCTCAGATTCCCTAAGGCCCATTTGACTTCACATTCTAGAATGTCTGGCTCAAGGTCAGTGACCACCCCATCTTGGTTATCAGGGACCAAGTTTGTTCTTGAATAGTTCTTCTGTGTAATTTTGCCACTTCTTCTTAATCTCTTCTGCCTCTGTTAGGTCCCTGCCATTTTGGTCCATTATCATGCCCATCTTTGCATGAAACATTCCCTTCATAACTCCAATTTTCTTGAAGAGATCTCTGGTCCTCCCTATTCTATTGTTTTCTTCTATTTCTTTGCACTGTTCTTTTAAGAAGTTGTTCTTATCTCTTCTAGCTATTCTCTGGAATTCTGCATTCAATTGGGTGTATCTTTCTCTTTCTCTCTTGCCTTTCTCTTCCCTTGTTTCCTCAGTTATTTGCAAAGCTTCCTCAGACAGCCATTTTGCTTTCTTGTGTTTCTTTTTCTTTGGGATGGTTTTAGTTGCTACCTCTTGTACAATGTTGCGAACCTCCATCCATAGTTCTTCAGGCACTCTGTCTATCAGATCTAATTCCTTAAATCTATTTGTCACCTCTACTGTATATTCATCAGGGATATGATTTAGTTCATACCTGAGTGGCCTAGTGCTTTTCCCTACTTTCTTCAATTTAAGCCTAAATTTTGCAACGAGAAGCTCATGATCTGAGCCACAGCCAGCTCCTGGTCTTGTTTTTACTGACTGTAGAGAGCTTCTCCATTTTTGGCTGCAGAGCACATAGTCAATCTGATTTCTGTGTTGACCGTCTGGTGATGTCCATGTGTAGAGTTGTCTCTTGAGTTGTTGGAAAAGAGTGTTTGCTATGACCATTGTATTCTCTTGACTAAATTCTATCAGCCTGTGCCCTGCTTCATTTTGTACTCCAAGGCCAAACTTGCCTGTTATTCCAGTTATTTTTTGGCTTCCTACTTTAGCATTCCAATCCCCCATGATGATAAGGACATCATTTTTTGGTGTTAATTCTATAAGGTGCTGTAGGGCTTCATAGAACTGGTCAATTTCATCCACTTCAGCACCAGTGGTTGGGGCATAGATTTGGACTACTGTGATATTGAATGGTTTGCCTTGGATTCAAACTGAGATCATTCTGTCATTTTGGGGATTGTATCCCGGTATTGCTTTTCCTATTCTTTTATTGACTATGAAGGCTACTCCATTTCTTCTGAGAGATTCTTGCCACAGTAGTATACCTGATGGTCATCTGAATTAAATTCACCCATTCCTGTCCATTTTAATTTGCTGATTCCTAAGATGCCGATATTCAGTCTTGTCATCTCTTGTTTGACCATGTCCAGCTTGCATTGATTCATGGATATTACATTCCAGGTTCCTATGGAGAAAAGATCTTTGCAGCATCGGACTTTCCTTTCACCACCAGATGCATCCACAGCTCAGCGTCCTTTCGGCTTTGGCCCAGTCTCTTCATTTTTTTCTGGCACTACTAGTACTAGCCCTCTCCTCTTCCCCAGTAGCAATTTGGACACCTTCCGACCTGCGGGGCTCATCTTCCGGTGTCATATCTTTTTTCCTTTTGGTACTGTCCATAGGGTTTTCATGGCAAAGATACTGGAGTGGGTTGCCATTTCCTTCTTCAGTGGATCACGTTTTGTTAGAGCTCTCTGCTATGACCTGTCCGTTTTGCATGGCATAGCTAATAGCTTCATTGAGCTATGCAAGCTCCTTCGCCATGACAAGGCAGTAATCCATGAAGGGGGGAAGGGACCTTGGAGGCCATCTAGTCCAACCCCCTGCTCCAGCAGGAAACCTTATATTGTCTGGATTATTTTGGTGCCTCTAACAGAGAGGAAAATTGCCAGAAAGGAGAAGGAGTTTACTAGGACAAGGCTGCCATGCAGAGGAAGACAGAGATAATTCTTGACTTATGACCACAATTGAGCCCAAAATTTTGGTTGCTAAGCAAGAGCGTTGTTAAGTGAGTTTCACCACATTTTACTCAATCCATGACCTCTTCTGGCTCTAACAGTCATGTGTAAGCTAGGGAAGAATATTTAAAGGTGTGTGTAATGTTCTAATGTACAGAAGTTAAGGTTAAATGTGTGGCAGAAAGTGGACTCTGCGTGTGTTTTTCCAAATGAGGTTGAATGTGTATAATTTTAGAAGAGCTGTGTGTGTGTGTGTGTGTGTGTGTGTGTGTACATACACAAACAATATATATAGTAGATAATGTATTTTTTGTGTGCCTATACGCACTCTATACTATGTAATATGTACGTACACATATGGCATACATACATAGGATTAAATAGTATATTTTGGATGTTCGGTAGTAATAAATAAATAGACAGGGAAATTGTATCTTGTTGAGGCCTTTGAGGCAAAGAGAGGCCAGGCACCCTAACCCTAACCCTAACCCTTGACGTGAGTGATGGCAAGGTTGGTCATGCCCACCCAGTCACATGACCAACCAGCTATGCCCACTTAGCCACATGATCGAACACGGGTGAGGTCTCATATTAAGACCTACCTAGTGGCGATAAAAGCGGCGAAATCTAGCTATTTTGCCGCTCTTATCGCGTCATCAGATAATCACCCAGCCGCCCTGTTTAGGGTGACCTGCTCCCTCCTCCATCTGGAAGCGCGGGATGACCCCTTGTAGGGTTGAGCTGAGGATTTTGTGCAGTATCTGTATGACAAAATCTCTCAGATTCGGGAAGGGCTGGCCTCTGACTGGGTATGTCCAGACGGGATGACTAAGGCAGGTCTTGAGAGCGTTATCTGGAAGGAGTTCGATCCTGTGGCTCCCGAGGACATGGACAGGATCCTGGGATGGCTGAACGCGACCACATGTTTATTGGACCCGTGTCCCTCCTGGTTGGTACTGGCTTCCCGGGAGGTTACACGAGGCTGGCTCCAGAAGATTGTTAATGCTTCTCTGAGTGAGGGGGTCCTGCCGGCCGCTTTGAAAGAAGCGGTGGTGAGGCCCCTCCTCAAGAGGCCCTCTCTGGATCCGGCTGTTTTGGCTAACTATCGTCCAGTCTCCAACCTTCGCTTCGTTGCGAAGGTTGTTGAGAGTGTGGTGGCGCAGCAGCTTCCCCGGTACCTGGATGAAGCTGTCTATCTAGACCCGCTCCAGTCCGGCTTCTGGCCTGGGCACAGCACAGAAACGGCATTGGTCACGTTGGTGGATGATCTCTGGAGGGCTCGGGATAGGGGTTGCTCCTCTATCCTGGTCCTGTTAGATCTCTCAGTGGCTTTTGATACCATCGACAATGTTGCACCGGTTGGAGGGGTTGGGGGTGGGGGGCACCGTTCTGCGGTGGTTTTCCTCCTACCTCTCTGACCGGTTGCAATCTGTGTTGACAGGGGGGCAGCGGTCGACCCCGAGGCACCTTGCTTGTGGGGTGCCACAAGGGTCGGTCCTCTCGCCCCTTCTGTTCAACATTTATGTAAAGTCGCTGGGTGAGATCATCCATGGCTTCGGGGTGGAGTTCCATCAGTACGCTGATGACACCCAGCTGTACATCTCCACCCCAGGCCACCCCAACAATGCCCTTGAAGTGATGTCCCAGTGCCTGGAGGCCGTGTGGGCCTGGATGGGGAGAAACAGGCTCTGACTCAACCCTTCCAAGACCGAGTGGCTGTGGCTTCCGGCATCCCGATATAGCCAGCTGGTGCCATCGCTGGCTATTGGGGGTGAATCCCTCGCCCCCATGGAAAGGGCTCGCAACTTGGGCGTCCTCCTGGATGCACGGCTGTCGTTAGAAGACCATTTGACGGCCGTGGCCAGGGGGGCTTTTTATCAGGTTCACCTGATATGCCAGTTGCTCCCCTTTCTAGATCGGGACTCCCTACACATGGTCACTCAGGCACTCGTCACCTCCCGCCTGGACTACTGCAACACTCTCTACATGGGGCTCCCCCTGGGGTGCACCCGGAGGCTCCAGCTGGTCCAGAATGCGGCCGCCCGGGGGATTATGGGAGCGACAGGGCGCTCCCATGTGACACCTCTCCTGCGCGAGCTGCACTGGCTCCCAATGGTCTTCCGGGTGCACTTCAAGGTGTTGGTGACCACCTTTAAAGCGCTCCATGGCTTAGGGCCAGGGTATCTACGAGACCGCCTTCTGCCACCAATAGCCTCCCACCGGCCAGTACGCTCGCACACAGTGGGCCTCCTCAGGGTGCCATCTGCCAGACAGTGTCAGCTCAGGGGGAGAGCCTTCTCTGTGGCGGCGCCCGCCCTCTGGAACAACCTCCCCCCAGAGATACGTATAATATCAGACCTCCGGATTTTTCGTTGGGCCCTGAAAACTTATTTATTTCAACTAGCCGGGCTGGCTTGATCCCACAGTTTTGGGTTAAATTTTAACTGATTTTAAATTGGGTTTGTTTTAAATTGCGGCCAAATATATTTAATTATTTTAAACTGTTTTTAAATTTTGTATGTTTTGTTTTTATTCTGGCTGTTCACTGCCCTGAGTCCTATTGGAGAAGGGCGGTATACAAATTGAAACAAACAAACAAATAAATAAATAAATGATCACCCAGCTACGTCCACACAGTCACATGACCACCAAGCCATGCCCACCTGGTCACATGACCACCCAGTCACATGACCACCAAGCCATGCCCACCAAGCAAGCCACGCCCACAGAACCGGTAATAAATTTTTTTGAATCCCATCACTGACTGACACTCACTGGATTGCTTGCCTTTGGGATGACATGTACTGGGATTGGTTGCCACAGGAGTTCAGGATTCCAGATTTGATCACCAATAGGAGGAAACAGACCAGCAAGATTTGCTTGGGCACTCATTATGGTTCGATCAATTTCAGTGCTTTGGATTAAGATCTAAGAGAAATAAAAGGCAACTTTGTTACAGCAACTTAATATATTTTTTCCTAAATTTTGCATGCCCAAGTAGAGAAAAGATTTAAGCCTGAGTGTGATGGAGAACATCCTGTGGAAACAGAGATGTGGTAGAGAGACAACAATGTTTTCTTGTAGCTAGTGTATTTCTTTAGCTTTAAAGGTGCACTTGGAATTGCATACTGGTTTATTTCCTCTGCTGAGTGTACTTGTTTATATGTATGATGACTACACATTTTGCAAATAGTTATGCCCTTTTTTGCAGCATTTTATGGAAATTTACATGGAGAGAACTTAACAGTTCAAATATGTACCAAAACAGGAAAAAAAAATCTGATTTAAGCTATCTGTTCTTTTTTTTTAAAAAAATTATTTTTTAAATAAAATAATAATAATAATAATAATAATAATAATAATTATTATTATTATTATTATTATTATTATTTCTATAACTTTCAACATCTAATCTTTACATCTAGCTATTACTTTTAGTATATTATATAAAAATATGTATAATGATATTCCCCCTTGATCTTGTTTCTCTATTCTAGCTCTCAATAAAGCTAATCTTATATTAAACAGCATTCCCTTTCTAACCATAATCTCTTGCTCGCTTTAGTATTTCAATTTTTATTTGTTTTTTGACTTGCCTCCCAAACTCCTCCCTTGGGTCTTTGTCTCTGTCTACATCTTTCCTATTTAACCCAAATATTTTTTCCATCTCTACTATCTTTTGCTGCTGCACCTCTGGAGGATCTGCCCAAGCCCCTGTCTTCTCTTCAAAAATATCTTCCTTTTTATCCAATCCATTTTTTTTGATCTCTTAATATATATTGTCCCTCATTTTATTCATATGTCTTTACTGTCTTCTCCTTCTTCTTTTCTTGTTTTATTTGTTGATTTTTCTGTTCTGTTTCTTCCTCCGGTATTTCTATTATCTCCTCTATTTCCTGTGTTTTATGCTCTTTATTCATTGTCCCTTGTTGAACATTTTCTGACTTCCCCACAATGTCATGCAATAAGTCTTTTATCTCCCTGTGGTTATTTATCAACATATCATAAGTACTTTGGAGCACCAACACCATTTCTTTTTGAAATCCACTCATCTCTCCCTGATGCAACATCTTGTCTTATTTTGACAGGTCCAAATATTGCTCAATAGCCTGTCTGTAGTCTGTCACCACCCCAAAGTCTCAATTGTCTATGATCTCAGAAAGCCAGCTTAGAAACCACTTGCTCAATTTAGCATTGCTGCTCAGGGGAATGCAATAGTTATAGTTATTTGTGTCCCACAATTAGTCAATTCTTTCCATTTGGGTAATCCAGGAAGATTTCCAAATGTCTCCTTAAGTCCACTCTATAAGTTCAGTCATAGATCTTGGCATTTAAAAGTAGCTTTCTTTAGATATCTTCCATAATCTCACAGTTAAACCTCCAATAACCATGAAGTAGACAGATATAGAACAGTAGCTAGCACAGCAGTCCTCCAGGTGTTATTTATTTCCACACCCCCTTTGTCTTATCAGTACTTCCCAAGGTTGTAGAAGTTTAGAATATACTCCATTCAACAGTAGATGGTGCCTTCACCTTAAATTTCAACATTGCACAAAATTTGGCAAATATTTATTTCAGTTTTTTGCAAATAGTCAATATTCAGACAAATAATTCCAGCATTTTAAAATGCCTTACCAAAATATTGCCAATAAAGTTTAAAAATCCAATCTTTCTATCTTTTATTTATTTATTTATTATTTGTATTTCTATGCTGCCCAACTCTCCGAGGACTCTGGGCGGCTTACAACAAAGACAGTATAAATAATATACATAAAAGAAACATAAAATATACATTAAAAAACCCCATACACACCGCTCATGGCCAGATCTCACAAGATCGCAGTGGCGAGATCAGCAGCCCCAAGCCTGCTGGAAAAGCCAGGTTTTCACCATTTTCTGGAAGGCCAGTAGGGTGGGAGTGGTCTGGGCCTCAGGAGGTAGCTGATTCCAGAGAGCCGGGACAGCCACAGAGAAGGCCCTCCCCCGCGGACCCGCCAGCCGACATTGTTTAGCTGACAGGACCCAGAGGAGGCCAACTCTGTGGGATCTTACCGGTCATTGGGAGCTATGCAGTAGAAGACAGTCTCGAAGACAGCCTGGCGCTAAGCCATATAAGGCTTTAAAGGTAATAACCAACACCTTGAATTGTGACCAGAGACCAATAGGAAGCCAGTGCAGCTCACGGAGGATTGATGTAATGTAGGAGTACCTAGGTGCACCCACGACTGCTCGAGCAGCTGCATTCTGGACCAACTGTAGTCTCCAAATACTTTTCAGGGGTAGCCCCATGTTGCAATAATCCAACCATGAGATGACAAGGGCATGAGTGACTGAAAAGAGCCTCCTGATCCAGGTAGGGTTGCAATTGGTGTACAAGGTGAACCTGTACAAAGGTCTCCTTAGCCACAGCTGCCAGGTGTTGTTCTAATCTCAGCTGTGGTCAAGGAGGACACCCAAATTGCGAACCCGTTCTGAGGAGGACAGCTTCTCCCCCCCCCCAGGGCTAAGGATGGACAAATGACATGGTCCTTGGGAGGCAATACCCACAGCCACTCGGTCTTGTCTGGGTTAAGTCTGAGCCTGTTGACTGCCATCCAGATTCTCACAGCCTCCAGGCACTGAACATCACATCCACTGCTTCACTGAAATGATGCAGGGTGGAGATATATAGCTGGGTATCATCGTCATACTGCTGATATCCCACCCAGTATCATTGGATGATCTCCCCCAGCGGTTTCATGTAGATGTTGAATAGAAGGGGAGAGAGTACCGAGCCCTGAGGCACCCCACAAACGAGGAGCCTAGGGGTCGACTTCTGTCCTCCTATTAACACTGACTGTGACCGACCAGAGAGATAGGAGGAGAACCACCGTAAAACGGTGCCTCCCACTCCCAACTCCCTTAGTCAGCCTAGTAGGATACCATGGTCGATAGTGTCAAAAGCTGCTGAGAGGTCAAGTAGCACCAGGATAGAGGAATGACCCCCATCACGGGCTCGCCAGAGATCGTCCATCAGAGCGACCAAAGCAGTTCCCGTGCTGTAGCCAGGTCTGAAGCCAGATTGAAAAGGGTCCAGATAATCCGTTTCATCCAATGTCCATAGGAGCTGAAGTGCCACCACTTTCTCTACAACCTTCTCCACAAAGGGTAAGTTGGAGACTGGATGAAAGTTCTTTAATTCTGCTGGGTCCAAGGAAGGCTTCTTGAGGAGGGGCCTTACGACCGCTTCCTTTAATGGTTGCGGAAAAGACCCTTCCCTTAAGGAAGCGTTAACTAAAGTCAGGAGCCAGCCTCATGTCACCTCCCTGTTGGCCGAAACCAGCCAGGAGGGGCACGGGTCCAACAAACAAGTGGAGGAACTCATCGCACCCACACCCTTGTCCACTTCCTCAGGAGTCACAGGCTCAAACTCATCCCACACAATACGACTAAGACCTGCCCTGGTCATCTCGGTCGGAATTGCCCAATCAGAGTCCAGGTCCATCCGAATCTGAGCGACTTTATCCGACAGAAACTGCACAACTTCCTCAGCTCTACTCTGTAAGAGCTCCTCCACTCCCCATACATTAAGGAGAGAGCGAGTCACCCTAAATAGTGCGTCTGGGCGAGAATCAGCGGATGCAATAAGTGCGGAAAAATGCGAACATTTTGCTGACCATATCGCCACTAAATAAATCCTAATAAAGGCTCTTAAGAGTGTTCGGTCAGATTCAGATTTACTGGTCCTCCAGCGCCGCTCTAGATGTCTCTTCTGGCACTTCATCTCCCGGAGCTTCTTGGTAAACCAGGGAGCTTTCCTGGATCCACTGCTCTTGAGAGGTTGCAAAGGCATAATCCGGTCCAGTGCCCCAGAGCTGCCTTATTCCAGGCAACAATCAGGGACTCTGCCGGGCTGTGGACAAGGGAGTCAGGTATCTCCCCAAGCTCCCTGCAGGGTCCATTAGGCATCTGGGGCAGAACCACTTAATCAGCTCTGCCTCCCTGTGATAGGGGAGTGGCGTCTAAAGTCCAACCTCAGCAGGAAATGATCTGACCACGACAAAGGAGAAACATCTATATCCCTTAATTCCAGATCACGTCTCCACTGCCCCGAGAGAAACATCAAGTCGAGCATGTGTCCCCCCCTATGGGTTGGACCCTGAACTACTTGGGTCAGGTCCATGGTTGTCATGGAAGCCATGAACTCCTGAGCCACATCTGAGGGTTCACCAAATGACGGCAGATTAAAGTCCCCTAGCACCATGAGTCTGGGGAACTCCACGCCAACCCAGCTACTGCCTCTAGTAGCCCAGGTAGAGATGTTGTAACGTAGCTGGGAGGCAGGTACGTCAACAACAGACCCAATTGAATCCTTAAGTCCAACCTCAAGAGGAGGGACTCACATCCGACAATCTCCGGGGCACGGATTCTGCAAGGGCAAAGACTCTTACGGACAATAACTGCCATTCCTCCATCCCTTCCCTGGAGTCATGGCTGATGCAGTATCTGAAACCTGTCTGGGCACATCTCTGAGAGGGGAACACCCCCCTCCTGGCCCAGCCAGGTCTCAGTTATGCATGCCAGGTCAGCCCTCTCCTTCAGGATTAAATCCCGAACGAGGGGGGCTTTATTAACAGCAGACCTGGCATTAAATAGCAGCAACCTGAGGCCAGGGCCCTGATTTCCCAAGTTACCAGATATATGAGATGAGCCTTGTGAACCAAAACCAGAACCAGATTTTGCGCTCTCCCTTTAGTTCCTTTTCTTTTGGGTCTGTAATTTTTCTCTCTGTAATTATTTGCCGCTTTGGCAAGCATTTCAAAAAGTCTCTTTTCCAGGGTTTATTTTCTTTGGGGTTAGGTTCTAGGTAAAAAAAGAATCATCTCACCCAGTTCCAATCACTGTTCATTTGCACTGCTCCAGCACATTCTTTGTTTCTTCGGCTGCTCCAGCTTCATAGCAGCCATAATGACTGCCTTTCCTTTTCGTCGTTGAAATCCCTGGGTCCATCTGGAGATCTGCCACTCTCTGCGACCTGCAGGGTACCCCTCCTTTCTTCGTCACTCTACAGGGTGACTTTAGGGAGCCCTCCAATGAGGATGATTCAGCACTAGTGCGCAGAGCCCCGCTCCTTGCATCCTATCTTGCAGTGACGTCAAACTGGAATTTCTAAGCTATCTATTCTTGAAGCTTCCATGAGAGATGAAGTGAGTTGAGATATCCATTAAAATGTCTGAATATTAATGTGATATTTCTTAAAGTTTTGAATGAGGACTAGAGAAACTCTACTCTCAACCATAGAAGCTTATGAATGACTTTGGGCCTGTCAGCCCAACATTTCCTGATACATTGCTGTTGAGAGGAAAATTGACATCTTAACCTCTCCTAGAGACAGAAATCTGGCAAATAGATTAATTGAAAAAATATACAGAAAATTACATTTATTCATCTGCAATTTCTGTAAATTGCTGGCTCCCAGATACTATGTCTGTAGATATGCTAAAAGTAATATAGGAAACATGTATAATTTATCTTTAGGCATCAAAATTCTGACTCCTTGATGTTTTGAGCAATATATGACTAGAATTAGATAAAACTTTTTTATGCGCTTGTTCTCACCTCCTCTCTTTTGTAACTGTCACTCAGAAAATCTGAATATCTCTTCTTTATGTATTGTCCAAGCTCATACTGCTGCTGCATTCCAATCTATAGAAAAACAATATAGCCATGAGTTACTTAAAAAGGAAAATGCATTCTAAGTTTGCATGAACTAAGTAATAGCCATATCTTAAGCTTTTACAGGTAATTGTTGACATATGACTACAACTGAGCCCCAAATTTCTTTTGCTAAGCAAGAGTTAAGTGAGTTTTGATTTTACGACAATTCTTGCCACATTGATTAAGTGAATTACTGCAGTTGTTAAGTTAAATGTGAAAAGGTTATAAGTCACTTTTTAAATGCGATTGTAACTTCAAACAGTCATTAAATAAACTGTTGTAATTTATAAAGCTCCTTACTCAGCCTTATAATATTGATACAACAGCTTACCAAGATAGGAATATGCTGTCCTGACTCTTATTGCATCTCTGGATAATTCATTAAAGTTGTTACTACTTTGGATTTTTTACCAGCTGATAAAAAGTCAATGGCATGTATTACTATCTTTATTTAAAAGTACCTCCTCCAGGAATCTGCCAATGACTAGTTAAAGCTAGTCTGGTCGCATAGTCATACTTTCCCCAAAGTGATGTATTTTGATTTTACTTTGGACCACAGTATTCCAAACAAAAAGTCTTCTATTCTATGGAAGTGGGTTCTTTATATGTCCTCTTTAACACATAATAGCTGATTTGGAACTGGTCCTATTTTGATTGATTATGTCCCATCAAATTATTTTTGACTCCTAGCAATTGCAAAGATAGATTTTCTCTATTGAAACCTACTCTTAGTCTGTTATTTCAAGTCTCCTAATGTGGTACTCATTCCCATTGTAACTGAGTCCATCCACCTTGCTGTGGGCCTTTTCCTTTACCTTTCCCAGCTTTACAATCTTTTCCAGAGAGATTGGTCTTTGCTAATGTGTCTGGAATAGGTTAACTTGAGGCTGGCCATTTGTGCCTAGAGTGAGAATTCTGGGCTGATTTGCTCAATGATCCATCTGTTTGTTTTTTTAGCTGTCCCAGGTATGCTCATGAGTCTCATGAGTCATTGGCAGCCAATTGCCAATTAACACACCAATCATCCTATAGGAAGGCACCACATAAACACAACTTACAGAAAAGCCCAAAGCACGTATTCCAGTAGAAAAATTCCCTGAAGATGGGCTCCAGCATGAGTCCAAAAGCTCTGGTCCCAGTGACCGACCCAAATTTGATTAGGAATCTCTTTTTCCATTAGGATTTTTGTTTTTCTTGGTTTTTGCTTGTTGGCAATGTATACCGTTTGTTTTGTCATCCACTTTATTTCTTCTTTTTGGTAGTCTCTTTTCACATTTATCCTTAACAACTTCTTTAAATTCATTCTATAATTCCACTAGTTCTCTATCAATAAAGTTCAAGACTTTAAAGTGATTCTTTATAAAAAATATAATTTATTGAAGACATTTTAAGAAGATAAAAACAATACAAATATTAGAATACATTTTACCTTCTGTCTCTCAGGTTACATCATAATTTCCTTCTTTCCATAAGTTACCCTTTCTAATCTTCAAGCTCATAAATCATAAATTAAATTTTCTATTTTTTTTCAGCAAGTAGTCCTTAGATTGGGTTTCCAGTCACTGATAAATGTATTGTTGATTTTTCTCTATTCAAACGAGCTAATATTGTTTCATTTCTGCTAGAGACTAACATCTCTGCTAGTTCTTTCATCTTCAAACCACTGTGGATATTTCCAAGCCTTTCCAATGTTAGCACATATAATTGTTTTTCATCAGTAATTATATATAAAAATAATCTTCCATGACTCTTTTCTAACTGACTGTCCATTAATTTCAGCAAGAAAACCTCTGTTTGATCTTTAAAAATCTTTGGGTCATTATATATATTTGAATTTAAAATAAAATAAAATAATAAATAAATAATTCATTTCTAACTTTTTTACCAACTCCACTATGTATGTTGAATAACCCATCATGTTATCCATATTTCCAAAACAAATAGTTTATTTCCAATGTATAGCTATGCTTACTTATAACATGCATATTTATAACATTTTCTATTGATGCCTTCTTCTCCTTCTCCTTCTTATCCTCTTCCTCTTCCTCCTCCTTTTTCTTCTTCTACTTCTCTTCTGCACTCCCCCTCCTCCTCCTCAAGTGGTCCATAATCAGCACCTACTATATTTTTGATTTCAAAATGCTGGCCCTGAGGATAAAGATAAGTGGCCTCAACAACTCTCAGAGAAGTGAAAACTGACCTTCAGAGTGCTAATGACCAGGTGACTGTAAAGAATATAAATCTTCTATTCCCCACTATTCAGTCAGAACTGAAGAAGCTTCTTCAGAAGAAGCAAACATTTTCAAGGAGAAAAAATAAAGTCCACTTGCCTTTTGTAAAGCACTGTTACGTATGAACGTAATTCAAATAGCCATAGCCGCCGCGGATTGGCCGAAAGCTGTGGTGGGAAATTAGAAGAACTGTCGGTGGTTAGTAAGTAAACAATAGGAAGGTATAAGGAGGCGAGTTGCAGCGACCGCGTGTTGAGTCTGATTTGGATATGTAGTGAATAAACACGTGATCCAGATGTTCCGAGTCCGAGTCGTGCATCCACTGGTGAATCTAACACTGGTGATGAAGGTGGGATCGCACTGAGAAGCTCGGACATCTGAACGCATAGGGGAGTAAGACTATCAACATCACCCGATACGATGGCTACGAACCCCTCACAAGCACCGGTGGTGTTCGACCCCAAGACGGAAGAATGGCACATGTACATGTGCTGCTTCCGAATGTATTTGGAAGCAAACAACTACCAGGATCTCCCCGACAATTGGAAGCGAGCGCTCTTCTTAACATACTGTGGACCGAAAGTCTTCAAGATGGCCCAGACCCTCGTGGCACCGGCAGACATAGAATCCATCATGTGGACGACCCTGCAGAGCATGCTCAGCGACCACTACGCGCCCACCGCGACGCCCATGGTCAGTCAAAATGAGTTCTATCGCAGGTGCCAGAGGGAGGGAGAGACGATTAATGAATTCGTGGCAAACCTGAGGGAGATCGCAGCGAAGTGCGAGTTCATCAATCCCGAGGAGATGATGAAGGACCGTATAATACCGGGGATGAGAGATCTAAATCTGCAGAAAAAGCTGCTGGTGAAAAGGGGTGCTACGTTCAAAGACGCACTGGAGGCAGCCCGAGCTGCGGAATCTTCAGAAAGCTCTGCCGCGGACATTTGCAGAAGCAGCGGAGTCCACTTCATGCATTGAGAGGGAGGAGACACATTGGAAGAGACCGAGAGCGAAGACGATGGGGAGAGGGGGAATTCCGTACACCACGTTCATAAAGACCAAAGGGTAAGCCCCAGGGAGTGGGAGCGGGAGAGCCCTCAATGCGCGGGATGTATGGGTTCCCACAACTGGGCAGACTGCAGATTTAAAGAGACCATATGCAGGCATTGCCAGAGAAAAGGGCACATCGCAGAGACCTGCAGGGCCACGCAACCCACGCCCGCCCTCCCCAGGCAACGAGGAGAAGCCCACAGACAAGGGAAACCCAGGGACCGCCGCAGGGATGACAGACTTCTGAACCGGCAAAACATCAACCAGATGACCGTCGGCCACTCAGACACGTGCAAAGGGAGGAAGTTCCATACCTCAGTCAACATCGAGGGAGAAGACTGCACCATGGAGCTGGACACCGGGTTGTTCTTCACCATCATGTTGTGGGCAACGCTTCAGCGCCTCAACCCAAGATACTCCATGAAAAGGCTGCAACCACAACCCATCAGGCTGAACGACTTCCAGGGGAACGCGATTAAAGTCATGGGCAGAGCTGAGGTCAGAGTCTGGTTCAAGAAATTCAACGTCCGTCTCAAGCTCACAGTGGTGGAGAAGGACAGACCAACCTTATTAGGGGTGGAATGGTTTCAACCCCTCGAATTGGACATCGTGGGTCTCCACCAGATCAGCAGCAGAGAGCACATGGACGTACTCCAGGAGTTCCCCGAGGTGTTCGATGGCAGCCTAGGTAATTATAAGGGGAAGCCCATATCATTCAACTTGGACCCCAGGGTGGTTCCCATTAGGCTCAAGTATCGCTGAGTCCCATTCGCACTAAGGCCCAAAGTCGATGAACAATTAGATAAGCTAATCGCCCAGGGAATACTCGAGCCAGTAGATCATGCTATGTGGGAGACCCCCATCGTCACCCCAATGAAACCGGATGGGTCTATTAGGATATGTGCCGACTATAAATGCACATTAAATAGGGCCCTGCAGCAAAGCGCATATCCAGTTCCAGTGGTGCAACACCTCCTGCACTCAATGGGAAAGGGCAGAGTCTTTGCCAAATTAGACCTGGCCCAGGCATACCAACAGCTGCCTGTAGACACGGCCACGGCAGAAGCCCAGACCATCGTCACCCATAGAGGCACTTTCAAATGCAACCGATTGCTATTTGGGGTAAGCGTGGCCCCGGGCCTGTTCCAAAGCATCATGGAACGTGTCACGAGTGTTTCCAGGATTGCTGTGGCTATCTGCCTACTCACAAACAGTATGGTTTTAATCAAGCCATCTGCTGTTGGCAATTACCTGCAAGCCTTCCCCGCCTAGTTAATTGCAGGTTAACTCCCTATATAAGCAAGGACCTTTTGCTTGCTACTTGGGCCTAGTCTAATCTAGGCCTAAATGCACAGCTCCTGCAGGAAGCTTGTTGCAACGCCGCAGATGGGAGAAGAATGCAGATAAGGACTCCAGACGCCGCTACAGAGAGACTCCCACGGATGCTTGCCTTTTGCTGTTTTGTAGCACGCAAGCTATCATCGGGACTGCTGTTGCTGGACCTTCTTCCTCCCACAAGCTTCAAGCAATGTTTGCTTTTTGAACTGTTTTTACTTCAGGTGACTTTCAGCTGTGAAGCTCGTGCTGCTCCCATTATGATTGCCTTGATGATGTATCGACGCCGAAGCTGCTTACCTTCATGCTAGCTTTATTCTTTTGTGAACTGCTTTGGTATTGTGGAGAGGGATCTAGGGAGATAGCCTT